TGACATTTTATATGTGAAGTATAAGAACCACCAACATATAATCAATGTTTTTCTCCACTTTTTCTTTCTGCTACAAACGTTAGCCATTTCAGTTATTTTTAATAGTTTGATAAAAGTCAATAATATCCTAAGAGAAAATATGTAGGTACCCTAAACTTACATCTACAGCCGCTTTTTCATTAACAACTACACATGAAAGACGTAATTTCATTCTTATTATTAGTTCAGTATACGAACTAACTATTAAATTATATCTGGTAGGTACATAAACATCAGTGATAAGTTTGTTAGCATCATTCCAGTTTTCTACGACAATAAAGTAAGTAGTAGGTATAAATAAAATGTGAAGCCTGTATTGATGATTTATTTTTATATATAAATGTTCATTTTGGCAAAATTTAAGTAACAAAAAATTCAATGTATCTATATGTCACATCTCATCTTGAACAATATAATGAAATGATTGCAAAATTATTATAGAATGATGCAAAAGATACTTCATAAAAATTAGGTGCAAATATAAGTAGCATAAAGACCCAAAATATTGTTGTGCTTAAGATTGAGAGGGTTGGCGGGTAGTTACTGCTGGGTTACTATTGTCTCCACCACTGTTGATAAGGGATACTGAAAAAAAAATGATAAAAAATATGTGGAATTTACACTCTTAAAATAATTAGTGGTATAAAAAGACACTCGAATGAGAATCACAAAATTGAAACAAATGATTTTTTTCGGTTTTATGGAAAAGCGGCTTCCATGTTAAATAATTTTATTCGGATAGAGAAGACAGTATTATTACTATTTGCTATGACTTTCTCGAAGATAGTTCCTCATAAATTGTCATCAATGGTTCTCTCTTGGATACCTTTACAGTTAAGGCAATTTTCATAGAGTAAATGTATTTAATGAAAAGAAAATGTAATAAACCATTATTCGAAGTAAATATAGTAAATATAGTAAATACATTCAAAGATATTCTTGAACATCTAACTAGAACTATGTTTGAAAACATGTTTCATTTTTTTGTGATTTTTGACGTTGTTTCAGATTCAGATCCTCTCCTAGTTGCCTTCCAAAAACTGTTTTTGATGAAATGAAACTCATAAGAATAACTTGAAATGTCCACTTATTGAATTATTTCTATTCCAATCAAAGTTTCCATTTTTTATAAATAGGAAAAAAGTCTTATTTTCAAATTAGAGACATACATCCTTCAGTTACGATCTATATCAAATCCAAATGAGCAGTTTTCACTCCTTTTTGATATTTGAGAATTTTTGTAGTATGAAAAGACACTTCATCAGTGATGAGAAATGACTCATCATTAAAGTAAGATACCTAAGTGGGAAACCAAGGGAGACCATGACAGAATATAAATGCATGTAGATACGTTAATTTTAAAGCATTCAGTTCCAAAGTCAACCATTTTTTATAGTTGGTTTCCCAATAAACAAGGAGAATGTGACGTTCAACATTACCATCTCCCCATAAGGGGAGTCCGGAAGAGTTGAACCACCGTTTAGTTTAATGTATAACATTATAACTTAAGCCTGTATCTCAATAGCTTAAAAACGTAAACAAAGCATTAATGTACAGATGCCATTTTGAATCAAAAATTTTTCCGCTAGTCAAATAATTTCAATAAGATTTGCTTCAATTCAAAAATCAAATCTCCCCAACGCAGCGGAGTTGACCATATTGGTAGGGAGACTAAACCATATCTATTTGTATAACATGAATAGTGAAAGATATTTGTGTTAATCAAATTCGTTTAGTTAAAAGTAATAGCAAATATTAACCATACCTATTTCCCGCCAATTATTACTCAATTTACATATTAAAAAACAGTTCNGGTTGATTGGTCAAACCACCAACACTGACATAAAAACTTGGCAAGTTGACTTGGGTGTCACACCAATAGGTGGTTCCACTTGTGTTTCGCTTGCGTGTACGCAGCTATTTTTATCAAGTACTTTCTTGGTTTTTCTCATTTTGTCTTCAATCGAGGACCGCCTGCCCGGTACTGACGATGCCCAATTGAAGTCAATATAGGAATGATCAAAGAGTAGGTACTTATCTAATCATTATATATATACTCATCCGCTGTAGACGAAGAGCATCCGATTGTCTTAGAGCAGGTCCATAAAAACTGTCGCATTAAGAAATATTTGACATGATCAGTGACTCGCATAGTCTCATTTTCAAGTTTATGTTGAGCAAATCACGATTTGGAAACAGCTGCCTGAGGACGTTATAAGAAGTTTGGTTGAGATAGCTGACATGTTTAGTGAAGCGAAGCTCTGGATCTGGAGAAGTATTTCATTTACGCTGCGGACTTGAAAAGTGTACCTAATTGTAGTCTAATCAACAAGTTCAAAAATATGAAAAATAGAGATAAAAGTGCTAAAAATATGAGCGATACCTCATTCGATTCGGAATCACCTCTAGAAAAATGTTTTAAAAGATTTTGGTGCAGGTAAAAAATTGCAATTGTTATTAACAAAATAAGATTTAAAAAAATGGTGTTTAGTTTATCGGTAATAACTCAAAAAATATTAATATTTAAGCAATTTTGAAAAAAGCTTGTTGAAGAGGAGGAAATTTCCGATAAAAAAG